ATGAAGGATGGATCCACCTTTGATAGAGGTGGAGTTTTTTGTTTTTTAATTGACCCCGGACCGTTGTTGTGTTGTGTTGTTCCGGGGGGGGGGGTCCCTGGACGCCCCGGGGCCTGGGAAAGGTCCCTGCCCCCCAAAGGAGGAGAGCGCTGGAGGAGCCCGAGCGCTGGGGCCCAGGGAAGGTCCCTGTCCTTGTTGTTGTTGTTGTTGTTGTTCCCCATATCCTAAGATGGGGTTATTGTTATTACTTGGACGCCTCCTACTCCCTCTTCCTCCTCCTCTTTCCTCCTCCCCTCCTGTCGGAGTTACTCATACTCAGACTTGCTCATACCCAGACTTGCTCATACACAGACTTACTCATACTCAGATACTCTCATACTCAGATCTACTCATACTCAGACCTACTCTTACTCAGACATACTCATACTCAGACTTACTCATAGTCAGACATACTCATACTCAGGCATATTCATACTCAGACCTACTCATACTCAGACTTACTCATACTCAGACTTATTCATACTCAGACATTCTCATATCCAGACGTACTCATACTCAGACTTAACCACATTCAGACATATCCATATTCAGACTTACTCATACTCAGACTTACTCATACCCAGGCGTACTCATACTCAGACTTATTCATAATCTGAGACTTATTCAACACACAGCAGATTGTGAGGATGTCTCAGGCGGGGCGCTGGTTCCAGCACCCCTAAGGGGAGCCGCCAGGGGTGGTTGCACGGGCTCGTTCGCGGCCATTTTGTGGGGATGTCTCAGGCGGTTTGCCTGTTTCTGTGCCCAACATCCTTCGCTTTGGGAGCAGATTTGGAGGATGTCTCGAGCGAGGCGCTCATTTCAGCACCCCTAAGGGGAGCCGCCAGGGGTGGTTGCTCGGGCTCGTTCGCGGCCATTTTGTGGGGATGTCTCAGGCGGTTTGCTTGTTTCTGTGCCCAACATCCTTCGCTTTCGGAGCAGATTTGGAGGATGTCTCGAGCGAGGCGCTCATTTCAGCACCCCTAAGGGGAGCCGCCAGGGGGTGGTAAAGGGTGGTTGCACGGGCTCGTTCGCGGGCCATTTTGTGGGGATGTCTCAGGCGGTTTTTGCTTGTTTCTGGGCCCAACATCCTTTTTTTTGTTATTTTCTTCTTTTTTTTTTGCTTGGAGAGCAGATTGTGAGGATGTCTCAGGCGGGGCGCTGGTTTCAGCACCCCTAAGGGGAGCCGCCAGGGGTGGTTGCACGGGCTCGTTCGCGGCAATTTTGTGGGGATGTCTCAGGCGGTTTGCTTGTTTCTGGGCCCAACATCCTTCGCTTGGAGAGCAGATTGTGAGGATGTCTCAGGCGGGGCGCTGGTTTCAGCACCCCTAAGGGGAACCGCCAGGGGTGGTTGCACGGGCTCGTTCGCGGCCATTGTGTGGGGATGTATCAGGCGGTTTGCTTGTTTCTGGGCCCAACATCCTTCGCTTGGAGAGCAGATTGTGAGGATGTCTCAGGCGGGGCGCTGGTTTCAGCACCCCTAAGGGGAGCCGCCAGGGGTGGTTGCACGGGCTCGTTCGCGGCCATTTTGGGGGGATGTCTCAGGCGGTTTGCTTGTTTCTGGGCCCAACATCCTTCGCTTGGAGAGCAGATTGTGAGGATGTCTCAGGCGGGGCGCTGGTTTCAGCACCCCTAAGGGGAGCCGCCAGGGGTGGTTGCACGGGCTCGTTCGCGGCCATTTTGTGGGGATGTCTCAAGCGGTTTGCTTGTTTCTCGTGGCACTATCCTCCAACATGACATGCACTTATGGCCTTGTGTGGCTAAACGCTCGTCTTACATATCACACTGCCAACTATCCTACAACATATGCACATGTGGGAAGCTCCAAAGCTACCACGGGCTGAAAAAGGGGAAGGCCTGGCAGCTGAGGAGGGGGGATGAAGAGGAAGAGGCTCGCATTCAACCATACTCAAAGCTCACTCTGACTCATGCGCAATCACTCGCATTAGGGGTCACTCGTCTTCGTCGGCCCTGTCGCCCACGTGGACGCGCTATTGTAGTCGACCGCTCATGAACAGACGCTCACCACGGTATGACATAAAACATGAGATGCACATATGGGGAGCTCCACGCAGTGAGTAATTGCTGATGTTGTTGTTGAATTCTCATTTATGAACAAAAAATTCCCATATCCTAAGATGGGGTTCTTGTTATTACTTGGACGCCTCCTACTGCCTTTTCCTCCTCCTTTTCCCTCCTCCCCTCCTCCTCTTTCCTCAAACTCAGACTTACTCATACTCAGACCTACCCATACTCAGACTTACTCACACTCAGACATACTCATACACAAACTTACTCATACACAGACTTACTCACACCCAGACGTACTCATACACAGACTTACTCATACCAGACTTACTCATACACAGTATTACTCATACTCAGACTTACTCATACCCAGACGTACACAAACACAGTCTTTCTCATACACAGACCTACTCATACCCAGATTTACTCATACACATACTCAGGCATACACATACTCAGGCATACTTACTTATTTATATTCAGGCATACTCATACTCAGACCTACTCATACTCAGACTTATGCAACACACATCAGATTTGGAGGATGTCTCAAGCGGGGCGCTGGTTTCAGCACCCCTAAGGGGAGCCGCCAGGGGTGTTTGCACGGGCTCGTTCGCGGCCATTTGGTGGGGATGTCTCAGGCGGTTTGATTGTTTCTGGGCTTTTTTATTTTTTTTGTTTCTTATTTTTTTGTTTTTTTTTTTTTTTTTTGTCAACATTCCTTAGCTTGGTGAGCAGGATTTGTGGTGGATGTCTCAGGCCGGGGCCTGTGGTTTCAGCACCCCTAAGGCCATCGAGCCCGGCTCATGGCACTGGGCTCGTTCGGGGCCATTTTGTGGGGATGTCTCCGGCTGTTGTTGCTTGGTTCTGGGCTCAACAATCCTTCGCTTTGGAGTGCAGATTGTGAGGATGTCTCAGGCGGGGGACTGGTTCAGCACCCTAAGGGGAGCCGCCAGGGGTGGTTTGCACGGGGCTCGTTCGCGGTCTTTTTGTGGGGATGTCTCAGGCGTTTGCTTGTTTTTCTGGCTCAAATTCCTTCGCTTGGAGAGCAGTTGTGAGGATGTCTCAGGGCGGGGCGCTGGTTTCAGCACCCCTAAGGGGAGCCGCCAGGGGTGTTTGCACGGGCTCGTTCGCGGCCATTTTGTGGGGTTGTCTCAGGCGGTTTGTTTGTTTCTGGGCTCAACGTCCTTCGCTTGGAGAGCAGATTGTGAGGATGTCTCAGGCGGGGCGCTGGTTTCAGCACCCCTAAGGGGAGCCGCCAGGGGTGTTTGCACGGGCTCGTTCGCGGCCATTTTGTGGGGATGTCTCAGGCGGTTTGCTTGTTTCTGGGCTCAACATCCTTCGCTTGGAGAGCAGATTGTGAGGATGTCTCAGGCGGGGCGCTGGTTTCAGCACCCCTACGGGGGGCCGCCAGGAGTGTTTGCACGGGCTCGTTCGCGGCTATTTTGTGGGGATGTCTCAGGCGGTTCGCTTGTTTTTGGGCTCAACATCCTTCGCTTGGAGAGCAGATTGTGAGGATGTCTCAGGCGGGGCGCTGGTTTCAGCACCCCTAAGGGGAGCCGCCAGGGGTGGTTGCACGGGCTCGTTCGCGGTCCGTTTGTGGGGATGTCTCAGGCGGTTTGCTCGTTTTCATGCCCAACATCGCCGGCGGGGCTGCGCCTCCAAAAGTGGTGAAACGCGCCCTGGGGAACCAGGGCTGAGGAGGAAGAGGGGGAGGAAGAGGAGAAGGAGGAGGAGGAGGAGGAGGACTGGTGGAGGAAGCAAGGGGATCAGGACGATGAGGTGAAGGATGACGACAAGGATGAGGAGGATGATGTCTAAGAGATTGAGGACGAGGTGGAGGATGGCGTGAGCGAGGGAAATGACAGGAACGAGGATGAGAGGTTAAAGCTGGGGTGCAGGTCGCGACGTGCCGCTTGAAGCACTTCTCACTCGTGCTCCCCATGGTGCTTCGGACGCGGCGCCGAGGGAATTCTTTGCCTTGACAAAAAAGATGCGCGGGCATATGCACGTGAATGAATGCATGCACGCGGTGGATGTGCAGCCGCGCTGCGCGCGCGTGTGCTCGCCGCTCACATGGACGCGCTCGTGGAGCAAACATTTATCATAGATAAATGCTCAGCGTGGCACTACCCTCCAACATGACATGCACTTATGGCCTTGTGTGGCTAAACGCTCGTCTTACATATCCCACTGCCAACTATCCTAAAACATATGCACATATGGGAAGCTCCAAAGCTACCACGGGCTGACCAGGGGAAGGCCTGGCAGCTGAGGAGGGGGGATGAAGAGGAAGAGGCTCGCACTCAACCGTACTCAAAGCTCACTCTGACTCATACGCAATCACTCGCATTAGGGGTCACTCGTCTTCGTCGGCCCTGTCGCCCACGTGGACGCGCTATTGTAGTCGACCGCTCATGAACAGACTCTCACCACGGCATGACATAAAACATGAGATGCACATATGGGGAGTTCCACGCAGTGAGTAATTGTGTTTACATATGTCATTCTTCGTCCCCCTACGGGTGGACGGACCCCTCCCCAGGGGCTCAAGGTCAAGCGGCTCCCGCGACGGCGACGTCGTGCGCCAGCCGGCGCGCCCTCGGCCACGGGGAGGGTGTGCCGGCTGGGCGCTTTAGAGGAGGCCCGCCTGTGAGTCTCAGGGGCCCGCGCCGCGTGGCCCTCGGCCGGGCAGGCGGCCCGAGCGTGGAGTGGCCTCGAGGGGCCAGAGAAAGGAAAGGAGGAGGAGGAGGAGGAGGAGGAGGAGGAGGAGGGAGGGGAGGAGGAGGAGGAGGAGGAGGAGGAGGAGCAGGGGAGAAAGACGACGACGACGAGACGACGACGACGACGACGACGACGGCGACACCAACGACGACGAGTGCCGAGGCGGGGCGCGACGCCGGCCGCCTGCGGCGGCTCGGACGCCGCGCGGGCGGCGCCCCTGCGGGAGCGGCTGGCCGCCGTGCGGGCCCGGGTGCTGCGCGCCTCCGCGGCGGCCCGCGCGGGAGCGTCGCCGCCGTCCCGTGCAGGCAGGCGGCGTGCTTCTCTCCCTCCGCCCTCCTCCTCCTCCTCCGCCCTCCTCCTCCTCCTCTCCTCACCGTTCCGCCCCTCTCCCCCTCCCTCCTCCCCCTTCCTAGCTCCTCCTCCTCCTCCCTCCTCCTCCTCTCCTCCTCCTCCTCCTCCTCCTCCTCCTCCTCCTCCTCCTCCTCCTCCTCCTCCCCTTCCCACTCCTCCTCCTCCTCCTCCTCGTCCTTTCTTACGTTCAACAAACCTTAGGAAATGACATGTGGCGTTCTGCTTCCTTATCCTCTTCCTCCTCCTCCTCCCCCTCCTCCTCCTCCTCCGCCTCGTCCTTCTGTGAGTGCTTTGGGGCGCCTGTGAGCGCTTGAGATGGTCCTGGGGCTCTGGTGATGTTATTTGACACCGCCAAGGTTTTCCCAGGCGCAGCAAAATTCGAGGTTCTCTCGCGCCTCATTTGCTCAGTCTGCGCACTGCCCCCAGTCACCCTGTTACCCTGTTCCCTTTCAGGCAATGTTGGAGGTAAACGCACAACCTGAAGGGTACGTTTTGCGTGGGGGGTGGCTTGTAATCTGGGAGTCGATTGAGCCCCCAACCCGTCGACGCTTTACTGTGTTACCCCCGGGGCAATGGTGAAGATGCATGTGTGGTTGGCGCGACCAGAGCGGGTAACTGGCGGGCGAGGGTCTTCGCGCTGGCGGTGAGGATTGCGCGCTGCTTAGGGCTGCCTCCGCTTGCTATTTTCCACCGAGTGCGCGCGGACGACGCCTCCTGACAGCCCATGGTTCGGGCTTCGACGGAAAGCCGGCGGCACCGCTGCTGGTCAGGGTAGCGCTGGGCGTCCCGATGGCGCCCGACAAGTTGCGCGGGGGCGTGCAGGCAGACTGGCGGGCTACCGCAGCCACGTACAAGAAGGGGGCTGGGCATCTCGTAGCGGCGGCGCGGCTCGGCCGCCCAATGGTGCGGCGAGATGGTAGGTGCCCCCGCGGTGCTGATCGCGACGATTCGAGCGGGCCTTGGCACGTTTACGTGCGTCGGTTGCGGGCCCTCTCGTGCACATAAGACCATTCCTGGACCTCGTCTCCTCGCGGCGCGCGGCCTGTCCGAGAGGCGCATGCCTGGCAGCGCCGGCAGCGGCGAGGCCGGCGCGCGGCGCGCGGCCCGTGCGAGAGGCGCACGTGTTTGACAGCGCTGGCGGCGGCGAGGCCGGCGTGGAAGCTCAGCGGCGCCCCGATCGAGCAGTGCGGGGTGCGCTTGCTCAGGCCCGGCGCGGAGCGGCTGGGCGAGGCCTTCAGGGCCGACGCCAAGGCCCCGGGGGGGGCCCGCTCGCGCCAGGCGGCTGGGCGACGGGCCCGCCTCCGAGCAAGGGGCGCGGCGGTGTGGCTCTCTTGCAGGCGCTCGGCCGCAGGGGTATGACCCACTCTGGGCCTGCGAGCAGGGGCCCAGAGACCCAACGCATTGAAAAAATCGAGACGGAGGTTTTTCGCAAGTTCTGGCCTCAAGGGGCCTTCGCGGGGCCCCGGGACCGTCCAAAAACAACTCAGGACGAAAAACCGGGCCTGGGGAATGAGTCGAGACCTCCGGGGACCCCGCATGGAAAAATCACGACGTCGGATCTCTGGGGGGGGCCGTTCCGGGTGGTCGCCAGATTGGAGCTGCTGGCAGCGGTCCATGGAATAGTCGTTATCGGCGACGGCGACGGCGGAGGACAGGACCAGCTGGGCTCGATCGGACGCTCGACGGGCACCGACAACCAGGGCAACTCGGGAAGTGGCTCGCGACGAAGCGGCCGCTGTGTGCAGTGGCCATGGAGCTGGGCACCCGCCACGCAGACGCGGGCCTGGAACTGGACCTGGCGCCGAGGCGCCGGGGCGCCGAGGCGCAGGCGGATGCTCCCACGAACGGGGACCTCGGCAGGCTCGTCGCGCGGGCTCGCGCAAGGGCCTCGCGGGGCCTCGCGTCACGAACGACGTGCGAGCGCTCGGCGCGGAGCGCAGCTCGGCGAGGAAAGCGGCGGCCGGCCTCCCCGCGGCGGGCCGCCGCACGCGCCCAGCGACGCAGCGGGGACACGGGCCCGCGGCAGAGGCCTCAGGGAGGCTGCGGACACAGTCGAGGCGCTGACATGAGGGCCACCGTTGGCTCGGGAGGGGCTCCGAGCGTCGGGCCGTGTTCCTTGGGCCCAGGTCGGGGAGCAGCCTCGCGGACGAGGCCCGCCGCGGCCGGGGAGGCCCCTTCGCTCCCTCTCTGGCGCGCCTTCTGGCAGAGCCATGGCTGCGGGTGGGGGCTCTCTCCTCTGGTCGGCCGGGGGCCCGTCGAATGGGCGCTCCTTCTCGGGCGCGCCTTCTGGCAGAGCCGTGGCTGCGGGTGGGGGCTCTCTCCTCCTCCTCCTCCTCCTCCTCCTCCTCCTCCTCCTCCTCCTCCTCCTCCTCCTCCTCCTCCTCCTCGAATGGGCTCGCGCGGAGGGGGGAGCGGGGCTCGGGCTGGGACCCCGCGCTCCTCCGTGCGGTTCCGCTCGGGAAGGGCCCCCCCTGTCCCCCCCCCCCTGCTTCTCGGGGAGGGCCACCTGCGGGGGGGTTCGGGGCCTTCTCCCTACCCCGCCCCTTGGGGCTCCACAGTCTGCCCGCACAGCAAGGGTGGGCAGCCTTCCCAGGGTGGCCCTCGCATCCTTCCCCGTCGGCCCGCCCCTCGGTGGCGTCCGCTGGCCAACCTCGCATCGAGAAACGTCGACACGGCCCGCCAAGGCCCTTTGCATCCTTGCCGCGCATGCTTACCTGCTCCTCCTCCTCCTCCTCCTCCTCCTCCTCCTCCTCCTCTCTCCTCCTCCTCCTCCTCCTCCTCCTCTCCTCCCCGCGCGGGCGGGCCCCGCTCATGTGGGTTCCCTTCTGGGGCCCCGGGCCTACCAGCCGGGGGGGGGGGCGAGCCACCCTCTCCTTCGGCTGCATGCCCGGGCAAGAAGCATCGACGCCTTCGTCGCTGCCGCGCGCGGGGTTGTCGGGGGGGGGGGGGACTTTGAAAGGGGGGGGGGAGGGGAGGGAGGTCCTCCTCATCCTCCTGGATCCCCCTTCCTCGTCCTCATCCCCCCCCATCCTCCTCGATCCTCCCAGGTCCCCCTTCCTCGTCCCCATCCTCCGCGATCCTCCTCCATCCTCCTCGATTCCCCCTTCCTCGTCCTCGATCCCCCTCGATCCCTCGTCGATCCTCCTTCCTCGTCCTCGATCCTCCTCGATCCCTCCTCGATGCTCCTCGATCCCCCCTCCTCGATCCCCCTCCCCCTCGGCCCTCCGTGCGCTGCCCTCCGCGCAGGGCCCCCAGCGCGGCCGGTGCGCGTGGTGGCGGTGAGCAAGGGGAACCCCGTGGAGGTGCTCCGGGAGGCGTGCGGGCTGACCCAAAAGGTTCTGTTGCATCTTCGGGGGACCTCGCCTGTCCCAAACATTTGTACCTTTTTGGGGGGCCCGACGCGTGCTCGATGCGGACTCGACGCGGATTTGGCGTGCATTCGACGCGGATTCGACACGGATTCGACACGGATCCGACGCGTCCGACATGGATTCGACACGGATTCGACGCGGGCAGGGCCGCGACGGGACAGACAAGGTCCCCCGAGGATGCAACATAAAAAAGGGGGTCCAGCGCTTTGTGGGCCCCGGGAACGGCAGGGCCGTTCTTTCACCGTTTCTAAAAAAAAGGTCCCTGGAAAATGGAATCGGCAAAAAAACGGCGACCGGGAACGGCAAAAAAACAGCTCCAGGATTGGAACCGGAGCCGGAACCGGTCAGAAAACGGCGACGGAACCGGTAACAAAAACGGCCCTGTCGTTTCCAGGGCCCACTATGGTCCAGCGACAAGGGGGTTCAAGCAGTGGCGAAGCGTCCTGGCTCGCCCATAGCCCCACCAGATAATGTTCTAGGAACCCTTTGTGGTTCCCACGAAATTTTCTTAGAACAGTTCTGGCGGAGTCTGTCCTGTTTTATCACATCGGGTTTATGTTCTAAGAACATTGTGCTTGTTCTTAGAACATGCCCGGACGGTCGGTCCCTGCTCAACAAAAGGGGGTCCAGCGACAAGGGGGTGGTGCAATAGATTTGGTGCAACATATTGATGGGGTTGCCATACAGTTGGGGCGTGCAGTACATTCCGGGGCGCAGGTGCATTGCTGTAAAGTTGCGTGCGATGCATTACTTGCAACACCATGCGATACAATTCTCCGGCGCACGACATTCGCAGTACAATCGCCCCAAAACTATTGCACCACCCCCTTTCAGCTGGACCCCCTTCTGGGTCACCCAAAGAGGCGTACGACGCCGGCCAGAGGCATTTCGGCGAGAACTACGTGAAGGCCGTCGCTGCCCAGACACGATCGCGTGATCTAAATAAATTATCCCGGCAAAGCAACCTAACAGCGATGTGTATACGCATATCTGGAAGCGTTCCCCTTAAGATTCATGTGAGAATCCAGTTGTAGAATTCTGCTGTTCTCGCAGTCGCAGTCGCATTCGCAATGACAGTCGCAGTGGCAACGGCCTTAGAATCCAATGGAATCCTAAGGATTCTTAGGGATTCCTAAGACATCCTTAGGCATCCTTAGGAATCCATAATCCTCAGGAATCCAGATTCCTAGGGATTCCTAGGGATTCCTAAGGATTCCGAAGGATTCGCCTGCCTCGGCCTCAACCTCAGCCTGCCTCGGCCTCAGCCTCAGCCTCAGCCTCAGCCTGTCTCAGCCTCAGCCTGCCTCAGCATCAGCCTCAGCCTCAGCCTCAGCCTGCCTCAGCCTCAGCCTGCCTCAGCATCAGCCTCAGCCTCAGCCTCAGCCTGCCTCGGCTTGCCTCGGCCTCAGCCTCAGCCTGCCTCGGCCTCAGCCTAGCCTCAGCCTGCCTCAGCCTCAGCCTCAGCCTGCCTCAGCCTCAGCCTGCATCAGCCTCAGCCTCAGCCTCAGCCTCAGCCTGCCTCAGCCTCAGTCTCAGCCTGCCTCAGCCTCAGCCTGCCTCAGCCTCCTGAGCCTGCCTCGGCCTCAGCCTCAGCCTGCCTCAGCCTCAGCCTGCCTCAGCCTCAGCCTCAGCCTGTCTCAGCCTCAGCCTGCCTCAGCATCAGCCTCAGCCTCAGCCTCAGCCTGCCTCAGCCTCAGCCTGCCTCGGCCTCAGCCTCAGCCTCAGCCTGCCTCAGCCTCAGCCTCAGCCTGCCTCAGCCTCAGCCTGCATCAGCCTCAGCCTCAGCCTGCCTCAGCCTCAGCCTGCCTCAGCCACAGCCTCAGCCTCAGCCTCAGCCTCCTGAGCCTGCCTCAGCTTCAGCCTCGGCCTCATCCTGCCTCGGCTTGCCTCAGCCTCAGCCTCAGCCTGCCTCGGCCTCCGCCTCAACCTCAGCGTCAGCCTCTCAGCCTCAGCCTGCATCAGCCTCAGCCTCAGTTCAGCCTGCCTCAGCCTCAGTCTAAGCCTGCCTCAGCCTCAGCCTGCCTCAGCCTCAGCCTGCGTCAGCCTCAGCCTCAGCCTGCCTCAGCCTCAGCCTGCCTCAGCCTCAGCCTCAGCCTGCCTCGGCCTCAGCCTGCCTCGGCCTCAGCCTGCTTCAGCTCGGGCATTCAAAATGTGGCACAGGACTAGTGTTCTGGGAACACGAAGATCACAAAGTGGCCCACAGTTGGCTCCGGGCAATCAAAATATGGTACAGGAATGGTGTTCTTGGGGCACGAAGATCACGAAGTGGCCTACAGATGGTTCCGGTCATTCAAAATGTGTCCTGGGAATGGTGTTCTGGGGCGACGAAGAACACGAAGTGGCGTATACAGTTGGCTCCGGGCATTCAAAATGTGGCCTGGGAATGGTGTTCTGGGACGACGAAGAACACGAAGTGGCCTACAGTTGGCTCCGGGCATTCAAAATGTGGCCTGGGAATGGTGTTCTGGGACGACGAAGAACACGAAGTGGCCCACAGTTCGCTCCGGGCATTCAAAATGTGGCCTGGGAATGGCGTTCTGGGAATGGATTCCTAAGGATTCTTAAAACAATTTATGGATTCCTGAGGATTCCTGGAGCTGACCCTTTTGTCCGGTTTTGTCCGGATCCCGCCCACCCCCTTCGGGACTCAAGATGCTCTCTTTTGACCCCAAAACCTATCAGTCTTCGCTGCTAGGTAAAAAGCAGGGCGGCAGGTTTTTGTCGCCATACCTTCGGCTCCGGGGGGGGGGGCCCTCGCCGGGCCCCTCAGAGAACGACTCGGGACGAGAAGCCGGTCCCGGGGGAAAGGGTCGGGACTTCTGGGGGCGCCGCCCGGAGAAAAAAAAAAGCAGGGCGTCGCAGGTCTGGGTGCACGGAGGAGCGTCGGCGGAACCCGTGGCGCCGCGGTGAGCAGCCACGGCGGGGTCTTTCGCGAAAGACGAGCGCGGCACCCGCGGGTGCCGCGCTCGTCTTTGGGGGGCCATTCCCGGGCCACGGACCTGAGACACTTTTTCGTGGGCGGCGAGGCGGAGGCGATCCGCACCAGCGTGGGGCTCATCGGGGGCACCGATCGGCAAATTTGTCCGGCGCGCATGGGAGCGAGGGACAGTGGAGTGCGGCCACGCGGGATGAGCTCAGACGTGAAAAAATACGGCTGTGAGAAACGTTTTGTTTCGTCGGCGGCGAGGCAGAGATTACTGCGCCAGCGGTCGAGCTTAAACGGGGCCACCGAGGAGCGAATTGCCCAGCATGCAAGAGGAGAGACTTAGACTTAAGTCGGGCCTGTCCCTCTACAGGGAGAATTTTCAATAATAGTTCAAAAATAGTCCGGGACTATTTTTGAGTATTGTTTGACCTTTTTGGAGTACTGTTTGAGCATATGTTTTTATTTTTCGTCGAAAATCCCCTTGTAGGGGGACACGCCCGACTTAAACTTAGAGAGGCAGGGCGGTCGCGGAGGCGGAGGGAGGAGGAGGGCACTCGGAGGCAGAATGCTGCCGTCCTGCGTGCGCTGGCGCGGCGCGGGTGTGAGAGAAGCACGCGACGTCGGGGCCCCGAGATAGGATTACGTCGGGCGTGTCCCCCTACAGGGGGATTTTCGACGAAAAATGGAACATAGTCAAAAAATAAACAAACAAGGTCAAAACAATTTCAAAAAATAGTCCCCAGACTGTGTTTGAATTATTTTTTGATTATTTTTGGTGTATTTTTTATTTGTCGTCGAAAATCCCCCAGTACGGGGACATGCCCGACTTAAAGATAGGAGGATCGGGGCTCGAGAGTCTAGGTTGTTGGGGCGTTTATCGGTTCGTTTCTGCTGGCCTCTGGCAAGTTTCCAGTCGCGACAGTTGAATTTTGGGCGGGCCAGGCGTCCAACACCACCCGAGCGCTTCGATTCGCAACGTCTGGCCTCGGGGGTAGGGGTGAAGGCCTGTGGCGTGCTGTAAGTCATCGTGAGGCAAACGAGTCTTGAAGGGAGCGGGTCGTGAGGTGATTCGCCGTATTCCGGGCGCTGGGGGCCCTCCGAGGGCCCCATGTGGACTGCCAGGAAGGAGCTGCTCCTGGGGGGGATCCCAGGGGTCCAAGACCCGTTTTCTTCAGGACCCGCCTGCCTCATGCCCACGTCAGTGCCAAGGCTTCTTCTCGGACCGGGCGAAGCCTCAGACCTGGCAGGCTCCTCGCAGTTTCCGGCTCGAGCCGCTGCCTGGAGGAGGAGGAGGAGGAGGAGGAGGAGGAGGAGGAGGAGGAGGAGGAGGAGGAGGAGGAGGAGGAGGAGGAGGAGGAGGAGGAGGAGGAGGTGGAGGAGGAGGAGGAGGAGAGAGAGGCCTGGCAGGCTCATCGCAGTTTCCGGCTCGAGCCGCGGCCTGGCCCGATAGGGGAAGGGGTGGAGCCCCCCGGGGGGCCGCCGTCGCAGGAAGCGCACAGCACCGGGGGCGAGAGGTACGGGGGGGACTGGCGAAGCGGAGGGCGCAGTGGAGGAGGAGGAGGAGGAGGAGGAGGAGGAGGGGGAGGAGGGGGAGGAGGAGAGGGAGGGGGAGGGGGAGGAGAAGGAGGAGGAGGAGGAGGAGGAGGAGGAGGAGGAGGAGGAGGAGGAGGAGGAGGAGGAGGAGGAGGAGGAGGAGGATGAAGAGGAGGAGGAGGCCAAGAAACACCGTTCCTGCCTCCAGGGTGCCCTGGGTTTCTTGGGTGTCGGTGCTCTGGCGCGGAAGGCGTGGCGTTCCCACACCAAGAATCCATATGGGCGTCCTGGGGTCCCAGGGCTGGGTTTCCCGTGGAAGGTCTTTTGTGGACGGGCCTCCACTGCACGAACATTGTTGGATGCATCTGCTTTCGCCTTCGCCGCCGGGCGTTCTCGTCGATGCATGGGCGCCTGCGGCGCCTGGGGGGGCGCTGGGAAAACTAGTCGCGTGAGCCGACTCGCCAGCCCACCTTGCTGTGCCCCTTCGTCCGACCTGAGCCTCGAGCCTCCGGGGACTTTGGGGGGCAGTCCTCGTCGTCACCCCCCTCCTCTTCCTCCTCCTCCTCCTCCTCCTCGTCCTCCTCTTCTTTCTCTTCCTCGTCCTCCTCCTCGTCCTCCGCCTCCTCCTCTTCCTCATCGTCCTCTTCCTCCTCCTCCTCTTCTTTCTCTTCCTCCTCCTCGTGCTCCTCCTGCTCCTCCTCTTCTTTCTCCTCCTCCTCCTCGTCCTCCTCCTCCTCCTCCGTGGACGTAGCCAGGCCTCGAGCCTGGAGTCCTCCCCGTCCTGGCCTCGCCTCGTGGGTTGCGTGCGGCGGTGTGTCTTCGCTCCTGCCTGGGGGAGGAGTGAGCTCTCACTTCCTGCGTTTCTCGGGCCGGACGAAAGTCAGGAGGGGGGGGGAAAAATAACATACACAATTAATCGTCGACTCCCCAGAAATTCTTGACGCTTCGCGTATCCCCACCAGCCCATCCTACACCAGGCACTCGAACGAAGAGCGCCGATGATCGGCAGTTGTTCTCCTCCCCTCTTCCTCCTTCTCCTCCGCCTTCCTCCTCCTCCTCCTCCTCTCCTCCTCCTCCTCCTCCTCCTCCTCCTCCTCCTCCTCCTCTCCTCCTCCTCCTCCTCCTCCTCCTCCTCCTCCTCCGCCTCTTCCTCCTCCCTGGTGGCGTATTGGAAGTGTCTTCGAACGTTTTGGTGGGCTCTTGGGCCTTGCGGGCGGGCGGGCGGCGCTCCGCCCGCCCGCGCGCAGGGCCCAAGAGGGGGTCCAAGACGTCTCTCGGAGCCATCTTGGAGGAGATCGATCAACGAAGGGGGGGTCCTAAATTTCAGCCCCCCCCTCAGGAGCCACGATCCTCGTGAGGGGTGTCGAATTTTAGCCCTCCCAGGGGTCGATCTTGGACGCTCTGACCGATCGCGGCCCCCCCTGTCCAGGTCAGTGGGGAGGGGGTAGGGGGAGGGGTAAACCCCTCCCCGAAGGGGAAGAAGGAGGGGTGGAAGAGGAAACGCTCTAAACCACCGACGCCCAGAGGGCTGGTGGGATTATGAGAAAGTATGGGAAGTGGGGGGGAAGACAAGAACCCAGAAAGTATGGGAAAATATTGGAATCCTGTTATTCGTGTGTATTTATTTGTGTGTCCCAGGGCCCCTTCAGAAAGGGGGGGATTGGGAAAGGGGGGGTTACGAAATCTGCTGGGGGGAATTTGGAAAGGGGGGTTACGAAATCTGCTGCGTGCAGCTGGGTTTGGCTCCACCGAGGGGCCCATTCCTCGATGCGTAGCCGCCTCCGGCGCCGGGGGCCGCCGGGAAAATCAGCTACGTAAGCTGATTCTCCCCCCCCCCCCTTTGCTATCCCCCCCCCTTTCGCCCGACCCGATTCCTGTGCTTCGCTCGGGCGTGCTCTGTCCGAGCCTCGTCGTGCAGTCCTAAGGGCCGCGCTTGCTGCACCCGTCCTAGGGGCCGCGCTTGCTTCCCGCACAGGCTGGATTGGCCCAACTAAGCCAATCAGTGTTCGCTCGTGCTGGAAAAGGGAGAAACACCAATCAGCAAGAAGACCCTGCAGCCCCAATTTTACGCGCACTGATCTTGGTGGGTGGATATCTGTTCCCTGTCATACCGGCAGGCCATGTCCTTTCAGGATTTTGACCCCAAATTGGCTGGTTGGGGCCTCTTGGCGGCAGAATTTGTCCTTCGTTGACGCAGGGGTCAATGCTGCAGGACACACTTCTTTGTCGATGTCTTCCCTCGCTGGTGTCAGATGCCTTCTCCCATGGACTCCTCCGAAGGAGCTCGTCGAGAAGGCCCCGCTGATGCCCGGCGACACGCAGTGGCACTTCGTGGGCCGCCTGGAGTGCGGCGAGGCCGAGGAGCTCGTGCGAGGCTGCCCCTCCCTCGCGTGCCTGGAGACGCTGAGCAGCGAGGGGCTGGCGAGGGCGGTGAACGAGGCCTCGGTGGAAACGGGAGGGGGGCCCGCGCGCGAGCAGGGCCGCGGGCGGCAGGCCTTCGCCGGCGCCGGACCACCTCCCACACTGTGGGAAACCACACACACATTGTGGGAAAAAACACGCAAAAACACACAGTCTGTGGGGGAAAAAACACTCACTGTGGGAAGAAACATTCTCTGTGGGAAGAACACACACACTCACACTCACACTCACACTCACACTCACACACACACACACACACACACACACAGAGACTGTGCGTTCTGTTCCCACAGTGTGTGTTTTTGTCCCACAGACGGTGTTCTTTCCCACAGACTGTGTGTGTGTGTGTTTTCCCTGGGGCGGCGCCGAGGATCGGCGTGGGGAGAGTCTGCCGTCCACGGGTGTCCGAAGGGTATGTCTGTTTTGGCGTGTTCGATCTAATCTCGATTTAATCCTGGTTTGATCTGGCTCGGCCTTTGGCGTGTCGCTGCCTCTCCAGAGAAAACGGAGCGCCACCTTGTATAGTGGGCGCTTCGCGCATGGCACGGCCAGACGGCGGGGGATACATGATCTTGGCATCGCTCGGACGTGTGCAGTTTTCCTCCGGCGAGGACCATCGAGGAGCATCCTTGATCATTTGGCGAAAAAGCCACGCACGAGAACGAAAAAAAAGCACAGGGAACGGACGCCCGAGCGATGGCCAGTGATGATGGCCGCGTTTTGTTGTGTGTTTTGCTCGGGTAGAGCAGCGGTTGGCCAGCCTGCAAGCAGGTGCCCCGCGTACAGTGGGGGCGCGTGCCAAGAAGCCAGTTGGATTTTGCCAGGGTGCCCTGGGTTTCTTGGATTTTGATGGGCTCCCAATCAGATCTTGACGATTTTCGATGGACACGTGTGGATTTTCACTGAACAGATCGCGTATTTCAGGGTTGGGTTTCTTGCGGAGGTTTCTTGTGGCCGAGCCCCCACTGTAAGCTCCTTGTCCCCCGGGAATATTGGGGACCAAACGCTGGCAATACTAAAGGTGCGCGGCGAACGTGCGCCTGTGTTTCTTCGAGCTTGCTACAGCAAGTCTGAGCGCACACCAATGGCGCATGTTCCACGAAAGTGCGTATACATGACGTGGTCGGCCAGGCTTGGGCGCGAGCTTGATGCACGTACGGCCGCATGCCTTTGCAGCGCTTGGACCACGCCTGGCTGCATGCATTGGCCCGCCACGCGTGCATGCAGAGCGCGGCCGCCACCTGTTTCGCACATGAGTCCAGCCCGCGTGTGTTTCCAGCATCCCGGTGCGAGGAGAGCCTCTTATCGAACGTGCCCACTGCATTGTCAAAGACACTCGCCGATATGCCCTGTCCAAGGGCCCTGGAGGTCCCGATCCCTTCCACAGGGGCAGCCCGCCAGTCTGGAGCACTCATTAATGGTGGCCTTGGGGTCCAAAGGCGGCCCCTGTGAGGCCGAAATCGAGTAACTACCGCCAGGATTGAAAGGAGGTCTGAGTCTGAGGGCGGGCTCGGGTGCTCGGACAGGGCTGGGACGAGGATAGATCCGTTCCAGAGCGTTCCCGAAGCGTTCCGGGACGCTGTGAGAAGGCCGCGGCGCCCGAGACATCCTCCACAGCCGCTGGATCTCAGAGATTCTCGATTTGTCCCCCCAGATCTTGTCCGTCCCGGCTCCGTCTTAGGTCCAAGTCGGGCGTGTCCCTCTACAGAAGGGATGTTCAAACATAGTTTAAAACATAGTCAGTGGACGATTTTTGGACTCTGATCATTTCGGGAGTCTTTTTTTTGCTACCCTTCGTTTGTCGCCCAAAATCCCCCTGTAGAGGGACAGGCCCTACCTAATCTTAGGTGTCAAGAGTCGACCCCTGGATGTGTGCTGGGGTCCGACTGGGGTCTCAAAGCGCCCCCTGGCCGTGGGGCCACGCGGAGCCTCTCCAGGCCTTAAAAGTCGGGCACGTCCCTCTATAGGAGGAATATTCGAAGATAGTCAAAAATAGTCTTGGGACCATGTTGGGAGGAGGAGGAGGAGGAGGGGGAGGAGGAGGAGGAGGAGGAGGAGGAGGAGGAGGAGGAGGAGGAGGAGGAAGGAAGGAGGGAGGGAACGCGGGGACTGTCTCTTAAAAACGAGGACCCAACACCACAGGATGGTTGGGCAATAATATTCGGGACGATTTTTGGATTATTTTCGACCTTGACTGATTTTCATTTTTCGTCCAAAATCCGCCTGCAGGGGGGCATGCCCGACCCAACTCCAGGCCCAAGAATGCCCCCGAACGTCCCTCAACAGGAGGGATGCCCCAAAATGGTAAAAAGTTTTCCTGGCGAAGGACCCAACCATATGCTGTTGCGAGTAACGCGTTGTGGGTGCCGCTTTCGGTGGAGCTCCCTATGGGGCCACGAAACGCCTGAGGGACGTGCCGTAGTGGGTGGTGGCTGACGCATGCGGTCGCGGCCACTGGGGCCTTCGGTGGAGCTCCCTATGGGGCCACGAAGCGCTTTACTGTGTGGTGTCTGACGCATGCGGGCGGTGCCCCTCGCTGAAGCTCCCGATGAGGCCACGACACGCTGTACCGGTTGGGGGAAACGCATGCGGGCGGTGCCAGTGGGGCCGTCGGTAGAGCTCCCTATGGGGTCACGAAGCGCTGTGCTGGGTGGTGGCCGACGCATGCGGGCGGTGCCACTGGGACCATCTGTGGAGCTTCCCATGGGGCCACAAAGCGGTGTACGGGGAGAGGGGGGGGCATGCGGGCGGTGCCACTGGGGCCTTTGGTGGAGCTTCCTATGGAGGCCACGAAACGCTGTACTGGGTGGTGGCTGACGCATGCGGGCGGTGCCACTGGGGCCTTCGGTGGAGCTCCCTAGGTGCCCACGAAGCGCTGTGCTGGGTGGTGGCTGACGCATGCGGGCGGGCCACTGGAGCTCCCTACGGGGCCACGAAAAGTTGTGTTGGGTGGGGGGACGCACGCTCCCTATGGGGGCACGACACGCTGTACTGGGTGGTGGCTGACGCATGCGGGCGGTGCCACTGGGGCCTTCGGTGGAGCTCCCCATGAGACCACGAAGCGCTTTACTGGGTGGTGGATGACGCATGCGGGCGGTGCCACTGAGGCCGTTGGTGGAGCTCCTACGGGGCCACGAAATGCTGTACTGGGTGCTGGTTAACGCATGCGGGCGGTGCCACTGGGGCCTTCGGTGGAGTTCCCCATGGGCCCTCGAAACGCTGTACTGGGTGGTGGCTCAGGCATGCGAGCGGTCCCACTGGGCCCTTCGGTGGAGCTCCCTACGGAGCCACGAAACGCTGTACTGGGTGGTGGCTGACGCATGCGGGCGGTGCCACTGAGGCCTGAGGTGGAGCCCCTTTATGGGGCCACGAAACGCTGTGCTGGGTGGTGGCTGACGCATGCGGGCGGCGGTGCCACTGGGACCTGCGGTGGAACCCCCTGTGGGCCCACGAAACGCTGTATTGGGTGGTGGCTGACGCATGCGGGCGGTGCCACTGGGGCCTTCGGAGGAGCTCCTTATGGGCCCACGGTGCGCTGTACTGTGTGGTGGCTGACGCATGCGGGCGGTCCCACTGGGGCCGCCGGTGGGGCTCCCCATGGGGGCACGAAACGCTGTACTGGGTGGTGGCTGACGCATGCGGGCGGTGCCACTGGGGGCCTTCGGTGGAACCTCTATGGGGCCACGAAGCGCTGTGCTGGGTGGTGGCTGACGCATGCGGGCGGTCCCACTGAGGCCTTCGGTGGAGCTCCCCATGGGGGCCACGAAGCGCTGTACTGGGTAGTGGCTAAAGCATGCGGGCTGTGCCACTGAGGCCTTCGGTGGAGCTTCCTATGGAGGCCACGAAGCGCTGTACTGGGTGGTGGCTGACGCATGCGGGCGGTGCCAGTGGGGGCTTCGGTGGAGCTCCATGTGCGGCCACGAAACGTTTGAGAGGTGTGCCGAAATGGTGGACATGCGGAGAGCAGAGGCAGGGATGGGAGGAGGGGGAGGAGGAGGATGAGGAGGAGGAGGAGGAGGAGGAGGAGGGAGGAGGAAGGAAGGAGGGAGGGAACGCGGGGACTGTCTCTTAAAAACGAGGACCCAACACCACAGGATGGTTGGGAAATAATATTCGGGACGATTTTTGGATTATTTTCGACCTTGACTGATTTTCATTTTTCGTCCAAAATCTGCCCGCAGGGGGGCATGCCCGACCTAACTCCAGACCCAAGAATGCCCCCGAACGTCCAAGCTCGCTCCTCAGACCGCGATCCCAAAAATGCACCCCAAGTGCCATCTGAGCCTCCACCGTCGCAGAGGCGTGGCTCGCGGCGGGCGCCAGCAGGCGGCTGCCCGTGTTCGTCCAGGCTCCGCGGCTGGGATTTGCCCACATTCACCGCCCGAAGAGCCGATCCCCTTGGACTTCGGAGGCGGTGGACGCGTACATACGCGGGCCCCACAGGGGCCCAACATACCGCACGTCGACAAAATGTTGCACCACGCTTGCTGCGCATTGGCACCTGTACTGCATTGCTCTATCCCCCCCTTACCCCGATCTCAATATTGGGTGCATGGCGAAGAGCCCTTGGGCCGCCCAGGGGCTCCCGACAACATGTTGCACCACCGAGCTGTTTCGACCAGCCCAGACTGAACCCAGTGTCTTTAGATCGGGGGGGAGGGGGGGGTGGAAGACAAACGCTTCTAGAACAGCACAGCGATGCGATGCATTGTCCGCGCCAGGCGGTGCAACATTTTGTCGATGTGCCGTATCCACCGCCCCCTGGGGTGACAAGACACCGGTTCCCCCGGGCGGTGGACGTGCATTCCAGAGAGGGCTTCGCCTTCGAGGATCGAAGGAGTTACCATCCCTCTGTCGGCGGAGGGCGGCGGAAGCAGAACGGAGGGCGGCTCTGCGGGCGGAGGCTCGGCGGAGGCTCGGCGGAAGGCGGCGGAAGTAGAAGTCAGAAAAACAACGATCGGGCCGGGAGGATGGGGCTGGGAGACATGATCACATCATCCATCTTATCGCCTATGCTGAGGGTGCTGATTACGTAGTCGGACCCTGCATCATCCTGCATCTTCCCAACCCCTTCCTCCCAAGACGAGAATCGTCTTTCTCAAGCAGATGTGCACTGGGATCCAGAAATTCCGGAATCGGACGCGTCACCGCGTTCATCAGGTGGAATGCTTGCGTGCCGCATTCGGCCGCGGCCCTGGCACGCCGCGCGCCGTCGTCGTCGTCGTCGTCGTCGTCGTCGTCGTCGTCGTCGTCGTCGTCGTCGTCGTCGTCGTCGGCGTCGGCGTCGGCGTCGGCGTCGGCGTCGGCGTCGGCGTCGGCGTCGGCGTCGGCGTCGGCGTCGGCGTCGGCGTCGGCGTCGGCGTCGTCGTCGTGAGTCGTCGTCGTCTTCGTCGTCGTCTTCGGCGTCGTCGTCGTCGTCGTCGTGGCCGTCTACATCCACCGCCACCTTGGGCCCCAGGACACATCGATCCCCCGGGCGGTGGATGCGGATAGATCCCCGCCCCGCGCCCCAGACCCCTGACGTCGTGATTCTTTCGCAACGCCGACCCCCGGAGGTCTAGACCCCTTCCCCGGGACCGGTTTTTCGTCGTGAGTCGTTTTTTGACGGTCCCGAGGTCCGGTAAGGGCCTCCTCCTCTTTCTCCTCCTCCCTCCTCCTCCCTCCTCCTCCTCCTCCTCCTCCTCCTCCTCCTCCTCCTCCTCCTCCTCCTCATCCTCCTCCTACTCCTCCTCCTCCTCCTCCTCCTCCTCCTCCTCCTCCTCCTCCTCCCCGGAGGCCGAAAATTGTGAAACACCTCCCGTCGCAATGTTTGTCACAGCGCGAGGAGGTCTGGGGCAGAGGTGGACTCCGGCGGCGGCGGGCTGCGGCGGAGCGGCCCCGGCGTGGCCCCGGGCGAGGCGGCGCGGCTGTGCGCCCTGGTCGCCCGCGAGCTGCACGGCCTGGAGCCTCGGGGTCATGGAGCATGCTCCAGATTTCGTAAAAAAGGGAGGGGGGTCTCATTTCGGGGGGGGGGGGCTCTTCCAGGCTATCTTGGAGGGCCTGGGGGGTCTGGGGACGATGTTTTGGAGGGTTCTCCCACGGGGGAGGGTCTGAAATGGCTTGTCTTGGAGGGTCCAGACCCCCTCCCTTTTATTACGAAATATGGAGTACCCAGACATGATCGCGTCGTTAAAAAAATCAGGACGGGGTCCAGAGATCCAACGTCTTGAAATCATTAATCCAGACGGAGGTTTCTCGCCGAGTTCGGCCTCTAGAGGCCCTCGCTTATGCACTGTTTTGCCGATCGGCGCGGGCCATCGCATCCCCCCTCCCCTCCCCCCCTCGTGGAGTAGATATTGGTTGTTTTTGGCGCCTGTTTCAAGCAGGTGGGGTCTTCCCCCGTATGACGCACTGTTGCAAACAGTCGCACTAAGCAGAGGTCTGGAACCAGACCCCCCCCCTCCCCCCCCCTCTCCTTTCGCTCAATGTCGAAACGCCGAATAACAAACGCTCACAAACCCGAATGCAACAATAAACTCGTAGCCTGACTTAGGTCATCCTGTTTTAGGGTTGCACCTGTCCGTGTAGTGTGTTTTCAGGAGGGGGAAAAACATACAGACACAATTAATCGTCGACTCCCAGGAAAGATGGGAAAAAATTGGAAGTGGGGGGGAAGACGAAAACCCAGAACGTAAAGAAGAATGTGTGGGAAATCTTTGGATTTGTGTGCATTATCTTGTGTGCCCTTGGGCCCCTTCATGCTCGGCCTTCCTAATTTTAAGTCGGGCCTGTCCCCCTACAGGGGGATCTTCGACGAAAAATGTAAAAAATACCTCCACAATAATCAAAAAATAGTACAGAAATAGTCTGGGGACTGCTTTTGGAGTATTTTTGCACCCTTTGGGGGTATTTTTGGAGTATTGTTCCCCACATCCTGAGTGGGGTTCTTGTTTTCCCAGAACATCCTCTCCTCCTCCTCCTCCTCCCGCTTCCTCCACCATCCAATACTGTATCATACCATACCAATACCATGCCACTCCATACCATACCTTACCATACCATACCATGCATCCACCATCCCATACCATACCATGCCTTTCCTCACACCATGTTATTTATCAGGATTCGTGCCCCTCCCACCCCTCCAGGGAGGCCCCGCCTGAGCGAGCAGGGTATTCGCACACCATGTTATTTATCAGGTTTCGCGCCCCTCCCACC